TAAAACTCAGTCAGGGCAAGCTCGTACACCCAGACCCCCAGTGGCTACATCTAGCCGCTTGGCATTTGAGCGGCAAAGCTTAACTAAACAATCTTATTCTGCAGGGGTGATATCGATCATACAGGCATCACGAAGAGCGTCCACTAATAGGATTTACGACGCTACATGGAAGGGATTTTGTAGGTGGTGCGCTTCGCTTCACCTAGACCCGACCGCAGTATCTATACCCAATATCCTAGATTACCTATTGGAGGGTCTTAATAAGGGCCTGTCAGTCAATACTATCCGCAGACAGATATCGGCCCTCTCAACTGTACTCTCCTGCGACAACTTAACTTCCCTAGCACAACATCCAGCGATTAATGCCTTTTTAAAAGGGGCATCTAACACAAAGCCCCCAGTCATACACAGGTACCCGTCCTGGAACCTGCCTAAGGTCCTTCTAGCCTTGACATCAGCACCCTTCGAACCTCTTGAAACATGCTCACTCCATCACCTATCACTGAAGGTAGCTTTCCTTGTGGCAATTACTTCAGCAAGGAGAATCTCAGAACTAGCAGCACTGTCAGTAAGGAAGGATCTGTGTACCTTTTTCAAAGACAGGGTCGTTCTTAGACCAGACCCGACCTTCATCCCGAAGGTAAATAGCATCTTTCACAGATCTCAGGAACTTACGCTTCCTGATTTCTGTCCAAGACCCAAACATAGGCTAGAACACAGATGGCACAAGCTAGACGTACGGAGAGCACTGTGTTTCTACGTGAAACGCACCTCGGCTTTCCGAAAGACTGAAGCATTATTTGTGTCCTTTCAACCATCAACTATGGGAAAGAAGGTATCTTCTTCCACCATAGGCAGGTGGATCAGAGCCTGCATAGCGCAGGCCTACGTCTCACAGGATTTGCCAGCACCCACTCAGGTGACTGCCCACTCAACTCGGAGCGCAGCCACATCTGCGGCGTGGCTAACGCAAGCTCCGGTGGAAGAGATTTGCAGGGCCGCAACCTGGTCCTCACCTTCGGTTTTCATTCGACATTACCGTTTAGACTCCCTAGCAGCAGCAGACGCGGCTTTTGGCAGAAGAGTTCTTCAACAGGTCGTATCTGCTCAGAGTTCGGTAGCCTAGACATTCCCTCCCAGGGGGACATGAGGGCTTTGGTATGTCCCATCCATTTGGACTCTACAGTCATCCTGCTGGAGAAGGGCGTTGTCTTACCTGAACGCCTTTTCTCAGCAGGATGATGTAGAGTCCAAGCCCACCCAGAGGATAGGTCTAGGCAGGGATATAATAAAGATATAATAAAGAGCTGCAATGTTAATTCCAACAAAGTTTCTCGCCTAAGTCAAAACTGGGGTCACGCCCAAAGGAAGGGGTGTGGCCGAAGTTTTTACCCAGTCTGCCAGGCAGGAAGGCCGTCATAGAACCCATCCATTTGGACTCTACATCATCCTGCTGAGAAAAGGCGTTCAGGTAAGACAACGCCCCTTTTCTTTAAATTTGATTCCCAACGCTACCCCATTATTAATCTTCCAGGCACTTATCTGTGTTTCTCCCAAGATAAGATCCGGTTTTATATTTTTTTTTGCCTCCAAAAGAGGCGATAGGTCTTATTGTGGGGGGATGTCTTACCTGCTTACCTCAGGACCGCCACAGCCAGGCCTCCCATGCCCCTACACCTGTTGCGCCGCTGCCCGACTTCTGCAGCTCCTTGCAACAGGAGGCCACATTGCACCGGTGCCACCAATTCGCTCACAGCAGGACGCCGCGTAGCATATTACGCCGGTGCCATTGCTTGCAGCAGTATTTCATGTGGCATGTTAGACCCTGGTGCGCATGAGTGGCGGCACCGGCACGAGCAGTGGCACCGGTGCAACACGCCACTCGGCCTCCTGCCACGAGTGGGGGCATCAGTGCAACGCGCCATATGGCATCCTGCTGCAAATGGTGACACCAGCGCTACGCTCCTGCTGCAATAAGAAGTCAGGCAGCAGTGCGACAGATGTTGGGGTGTGGGAGGCCTGGCTGCAGCAGTCCTGAGATAAGTGGGTACGAGGCACATGGGGCAGCTCCCCCACCCCACCTTTGCCTTAGCTTGATTTTTATGCGTGTGCCTTGTCCCACCTTATACAACCAGATGGTGAGATGGAGTGGGCAGGGTCTGAACTGGGGCTTATTTTGGGGGTAGGGCTTATATTAGGGGCATACGTAAAATGAAGCTAGGTTTTATTTTCAGGATAGGTCTTATTTTTGGTGAAACATGGTAATAGGTCCTCTGTATTTTACATGATCTTCACAGCAGTTCTTATATCTTTGATAATTCTTTTGTAAACTTCAGAAATATAATGTGATGAGTGAAATATTTGAATTAAGTTGAATGATTACATTATATTTTGTTTTGTCTTGGTCTTCAATAAATATTTACATTTTGTAATTTTAATAGATTAATTCACTGCTAATTAATGGAGAGAAAGGATATGTTGGATGTGGTCATTTCTTTAAAGGAATAGATTTGCCATTTGTAATATATCTTAAATCTAACTTTATTCATTTGATTTTTATCCCACCGTTATTTTATAAATAACTCTGGGGAGCAACCATACATAATACTACTTCCTCCTCCTATTTTTCCCACAACAACCCTCTGAGGTAGGTTGGGCTGAAAGCACATTTGGCCCAAAGAAACCCAGCTAGCTTTCATGCCTAAAGTAGGACTAAAACTCAGTCTCCTGGTTTCTAAGCCAGCACCTTAACCACTGCATTAGACTGGCTCTCTTCATTCTTTTTATTCTTTATTCCTTGAAAATCAGGCATTAACTGTGGCTAGAGGTTTCTCTTGGCTGCATAAACTGGCCCTTTCAAATGTTCTGCCCATCACTAGAGGTTCTATAGATAGAAAGCTGCAGTAATTTTTTTTAAAAAAAAATCCTTAAATCCAAATGTAAATTAGAAACGAGAACAGTAATACACTGAACCTCATTGTGTACTTAGCTACAGGATTTTCAGATAATAATTTTACCACAGTTGCCATAGAATCTGGACTAATGAGTAAGTTCAACCTTGACAGAAGGTATCAGGACATTTACATGCATAACGAACATGTAATGTGAACATAGTATTAACCTCTTGAAGTGTGCCTAGAGTATTTTTGAATACAAGGAGTGCAGCCTGAGAGGATGTCCAGTGCAGTTTGCAGTGCCCCTTTGATCTCTGCCAAACTCCCCTCCCCGTTTTTTTTCCTTTGTACTATCTTGTGATGATCAAACAGCTTTTTTAAATCAAAGTGTTTTAATTCAGTTGTTTAGAAATAGGACAAGAAGCAATTAGTGGGAGCTGGTCAGAGGGAGCTCAAATCTGGAAATAAATAAGACATTTCCTGACAATAAGGATTACCAAGGACTGTTAAGCAGGGAACAGCTTGCCTCCCAGAGTTAGGGGTGTTCAATCAATTGGGGTTTTCAAGAAAAGATTGGACAACCATTTGTCTGAGATGGTATTAGGACTCCTGCCTTGGACAGGTGGTGGACTATAAAACCTCCCAAGTCCTGTCCAGCCCTACAATTCTGTGATTTATCAGGTTGCTTTGAACAACTCTTAATCACAACAAATATTTTTTTAAGATTTTCATATTCTTAGGTTAAAAAGAGCTACCACTATTTTTTCTTGTTTAAGAAGAAAGAAAAAATACCATTATACAGTACCCTTGGAATTTTGGTTGGCAGCAAATTATTTAAAAATAATGAAAACTAATCAGAATAGTCCATTCTTCCAGTGTGGCCATTTACATGTGGTGTACTTATTGGAGAGACCTTAATTTGGTAGTCGTGCATCCCTACTTTAGCCTGTGTCTTGATATCAAAGGTTTTATCAGAAAACTTCCCAGTAAATATAAAGACAATTGGGAATGGCTGGAAGAAGAAGAAAAATAGAAATAATTTCTTGAAGCAAAATTGTAAGCTTAAATAAGTGGAGGTTTATCAATGAAGATGGTAATGATAATAGTATTTTTCTCATCTTCTTTTTTTCCTTATGTGATGGTTTTTCTTAACTCAGAGTAATGATGAGAAGCTTCTGCAATTTCAGTAAGGTGTACTATCACTCTCCTCTACAGTATCTTAATTGGTATTGCATTATTTTATTTATTAGATTTTTATCCCACCTTTATTACTTTATAAATAACTAAAGGCAGCAAACCTACATAACACTCCTTCCACCACCTGTTTTCTCCAGAATAACAACTCTGTGAGGTGGGTTGAGCTGAAAGTGTGACTGGCCCAAAATCATCCCACAAATCTCCTGATTTCTAGGGCCGCATCTTGACCTCTACACCAAACCGACTCTCAATTATATTGTAATTATAGTGTAGTGTAGTTTAGTGTTTTGACCATTGCAGCATCTCCATGGTCACATGATCAAAATTCAGACACTTGGCAACTGACTCATATTTATGGTGGTTGCAGTGTCCCAGGGTCATGTGATCATCTTTTGCAGCCTTCTGAGAAGCAAAATCAATGAGGAAGCCAGATTCACTTAACAACTGTGTTACTAACTTAACAACCATCGTGATTCACTTAACTGTGGTAAGAAAGATTGTAAAATGGGGCAAAATTCACTTAACATCTGTCTTGCTTAGCAACAGAAATGTTGGGCTCAATTGTGGTCATACGTTGAGGATTATCTGTAGGATGGGATAGGGAAATGGATAGGGAATGAGAAGAATAGAAATAGAACAGAATAGAAAAGAATACTTATAATGATGTTATGATCTGGTCTGCATTCTGCCTTAGTGTCACAAGCTGTCCATCCTAGATTTTAGAGATAGTTTTAGAACAACTTCGTCTAGAAATAATTTTATTAAGTTGATGGAACCCAAACAGTGAAACTATTTGGTATACTGGCATAATAAATGCTTGACTATTCGAATAGTATTGCAGTTGTTTTATTAAATTTAACAATGAGAAACAATACTTCATTTTTATTCTTTTGTTAAATGTTTTCATAGGAACAGTTCGTCAGTCTGGATGATCCAGCATTGGAAGTTGGGCAGCACGCTCTGCTTAAACAAGAGCAAACAAAGATCATTTGGTTTGAGAGGCAAGCGGAAGAATTCCTTCATGAAGTCTTTTATCGAAAAGGTTGGACTCAATAAAAAAGGAAATATTTAATGTAATGGTTCAGTTTATTAATTTTTAATATTTCTTTTGCAAAAGTTAAATATTGGCCTCCTCTCCTCTGCTTATCAACTGTCAGTGCAATATATCCCAATCCCTGGTCCCCAATTTTTTCAGTCTCTTTCTTCCCTTCCACCGCATTCTTTCCTCAGCTTCCTCCACTAATGACCCAATATAGCATATTTCATTGACCTGCACATTCCCCTCATCTTCTAAGTGGCTTCCTTTTCGTCTGCTCTCTCATCTGACTTTTGGTGTTAGTGTGGCATATTCCTGTCCTTCATCTTCCCATTGTCTTCTCTTTTATCTGTCCTCTCAGTTTCTGTGGCACATTCCACCAATTCCTTTGAATAAAATTATTTGATCACAGAAATTTAATTTCTGAATAAATTGGTAGTTCCTGATCATGTTTTTGTCTGTCTTAACCTTCAATCCTGACTTTCATCTTACCCTTCACAAAGTCTTAGGGGAACGCATACTTTTTTGACTGAACCAAAGTTCTTCAGTAGTTTTGCTTTTTCTTTGTTTTCAAATTACTTCCTTTGTGTTTCACTTAAGGTAAAGCATACATAGATAATCCATAGAATATTTATAGCACTTGAATATAGTTACTGCATTTCTGTTCATTTTTCCACATTGCTCAGTTCATTAAAAGCAATGGATAAGCAGTCATTTGGGAACAGGAAGAAAGAAATGGGTAAAGTTGCTGTTTTCTGTTTGAATGTTGAATTGGTGTGTGGAAGAGATATGGAAGTGTGCATATATTTTTATGGTCTCTTGAACATCTGTGAGCTGCCGAAATTTCCCAATCTATATCCTGTGTAGAGTAAGAGAAAGTTGAATATTGTTTGTCTGTCTTCCACTATCACTGATCTAAGTTATTCCCATCACTGAAATTCTTTTCTTATTTATAACCCTTACTTATCACCGGCATGCTTACCTCCTTCATCTGTCCAAAGTGCTTTGTGTTATTTTTGTTGACAGTGTTATGTGAGGTTTTAGCATGCACAAATTAATAAATATTGCACAAGCTGATTTTATCTTACTCAGCCAAACTTTCCATAGAATTCCTGGTATAATTTAAAAAAATAAAATAAAAAATAGAAATACACTATAAACTGACTATTTGTCTAGGTCTATTTGTAGTGTTACATAGTAATTTTTGTTTAGTAATTAAGGCACCAGACTAGAAAGCAGGAGACTGCGAGTTCTTAATCTATGGGCCAGTCTCTCTTTTTCAACCCATCAGGCTCAGGCAATTCCATCTTAACCAAGGGATCAAGATTCAGTTCTGAAAAAAGTGCATCCTGCACTTCAGGAAAAAATACTAGGAAAAAATGTGATATTTCTTATTTTGCATCCTGCATACTGAAATGCTTTATTTTCTGAAAAAGAAGTAAAGTAATTCTTGCTTAATGTCCACTTATGCAGCGACCAATCAAAGTTACAACAGCACTGAATGAAGAGGAGTCATGGGTCCTCATAATTACAGCTGTTGTAGCATTCCCATGGTCACATGATTGCGATTTGGGTGTTCAGTAAACAGCTTGTAAGTACAAAGTTACGGCATCCCATGATTTCCATTTGCAACTTTCTCTGCTGTCTTCCAACAAGCATAGTCAATGGGAAACTGTCAGGAGGTTCCAAATGGCAATATTGTGACTGCGGGATGCTGCGACTGTGCAGGATCGCCTAATGACAGAAACTGAAACTGCTGCAACTACCATCATAAGTTGGCATGGTCTCATAACATTGCACCTTCTGATTGGGTTGCTTAGTGAGACAGTTCCTGGTCTCAATTACCATAAGTTAGCAAAGATTATTTTATTTCCAAGTTCCAAGTTGAAATATATACTATATTTAAAATCCATCTTACTTGTTTTCTGATAAACTCCTAGTAGTATTTTCAAGCCTTTGGCAGGATATCGTGATACAGTGTTTTTGGTGCTGGTATTGCTGCTGTGTTTTTATCATGTATATATTTTCATTTTTGTTTATTTAAGTGTAATTTTGTTGTACAGAGTTGAAATTCATAAATGTACATAATAAAAACAATAAACAATAAAACGCTGAAAATAACGAGATTGTTAAATGATCGCTTTGGCAAAATTGTGACATAAACCTGCCTATCAGGTAGCAGCACTAATGAATGATGCTCTCAAATGTTAGATTAATAAGAAAAATAATTTGTAGGATTACAAGTAGTCCTTGAGGTATGACCATAATGGAGCCCAGAATTTCTGTCATATAGCACAATAGTCATAAGTCAAGGCACCTCGTAAATCACCCAATTTTATGACATTTTTTATGGCACCCATTAAATGAATGTGAAATTTGTAAAAAAAAATCCGTTGTTCGCAATGGGTATTTTATGCTGAAAACTGCAAGTAAATGCCCATTTCTTCAAAAAACATTGTAAATTATGGTCACTTGACCGCAGGAGTTGCAAATGGCTATAAATGCAATTGTGCGTCTGTCGGAACTTCGAATATGGATCATAAGTATCTTTTGGAGAGGGGAGTATCATAAGTTGAAATGGCTGCTAAGCGAGTGGTTGTAAGTCAAGGACTACCTGTACTAATAACAATAGCTTTTACTTAGCACATTTCAAGTGTTCCCATCATATATATTATGTCAATTATCTTTGTGACAGGTCATTAAGTAGGCATCTGGCCATTTCAGTCCAGCAGAGTTCGATCCACCAAGCATTTCTAGGGGGTTTTTTTCCATTTAAAATGTTATTAGAATATATCAGTTTGTCAGAATATAAAATACAAAGAAAATGAAAATATTGGGAGACTTAAGAGAGGAAAAATGGAAGAGGAAAAAGTGTGGAGGATGGAAGGGAGGAAGAAAAAAGTGTTGACTTCTGATTTTTTTTAGCACAGTAGAAGAGAGTAGCAGTATAGGCTCATCTTTATGCTTTTACACAATAATACATACTAGCCATTTCTATAACAAGAAACCTATCTAATCAGCAAAACCAAAATCAAAGTTTCATTTTTTTCCCCATCACAAGCACAAAATCCAGAAGCAATTTCCAAATGGAAACAAAATTAGATATGCAGTACTGCAGGCCACTTTAGCTGACTGTTCAGCAGGTCAGCGGTTCAAATCTCACCGGCTCAAGGTTGACTCAGCCTTCCATCCTTCTGGGGTAGGTAAAATGAGGACCCAGATTGTTGGGGGCAATGTAAATATATATATATATATATATATATATATATATATATATATATATATATACACACACACACACACACACACACACACACACACACACAACACTATACATATATATATATATACACACCACACACACACACACACACACACACACACACACACACATTGCTTACTGGTGTACACCGCTTAGAGAGTGCTTGCACTTAAAGCGGTATATAAGTCTCATAAATAAATAAATAAATGTTCTTTTCTTTGAATAAAGTAATCAATTTAACCATCTCTACTTTCTTTATTTTTTGCTGTGGGAGATAATATATATTTCTGTATATACATATTAGTCTTTATAAACTATTGTCATTTATATTAACAAAATTCTCTACAATGTCTCAGGTTCTTTAACCTTAAAGGGGAAAAATCTTTTTTTAACATCAATTTTAAAGCTTTAGAGTTTTCTTTAAAAATATTTCTAAAATCAATAAATGCTAATACATATTTTTTATTTCTTCCTAACATTCATACTTTAAAATTCAATAATATATTACAAACTTTAGGAATTACTGAAGCATTTTATATATAAAAAACATTTTCATACCCACTTTATGAACACAAAAAACATTAGAGCTTTCTTTCAATTACATATATTAGACTTGTAAAAATTCATCTTAACTCCTATTAACTTAAATTTGAGTCACCCCCTCCAATCTTATCCTCATAGAATAAACTCTTTCTTCTCTGGAATGTCTGTCCAAGTCTCTTTCTCTCAAGGAATTCTCCTGTTAATATCCATGAAGAAAAAGTCCCAAATTTGCTCTTTTGAGAATTATAGATTTGCTTGGGACAGTATTCCATGCATCTTTCGTGTAAAGCCCTGTGGCCACATGACCACGGAAAATGTCTTCAGACAATGCTGGTTTCCTTAGCCAAGAAACGGAGATGAGCACTGTGCCCTAGAATCGGACACAACTGGACAGGGAAACCTTTACCTTGTTTCAGTTGCACTGAGAGGGCAGTATTTAAGCCATCATTATAATAAAGATTGCTATTAGATTTGTATTCCAAAGTTGCAGTTAAATCCTTTGCAGTGTCAGATATTTGTGAAATTGCCCCATGATGTGTAGAAGTTCCCAGGTCCTTTTGATTAAACAGTATCGTCTATTGGGACCCCAGAAATGTGCCTTCTCTGTTGCAGTACTGACCTTGTGGAATGAGATTCCTCCTCAGATCCAGGTGCCCCCCGCCCTGTTGTCATTCCAAGTGAATTTTGAAGATCTTCATCCAGGCTTTAGGCTAGGGTAGTTGGAACCCTTTGCAGGATTGGCCAGATTTGCCATATCATTCATGGGCTTTATCTGGATTGCATATTATTGTTTATTTTTACTCTGTGAGCTGCCTACAATTAATGGATGTCGAGCAGTGTCCAAGTCAAATAAACAATTACAACATGTCACAGTCTTGAGCTGGCATTTTAAAATCATTGAACATGAATGTAAAAATATTTGGATGCATTTAGATTATGAATGTATAATTCAGGTTTTACATTTTTTCTAAATATTACTATTTCAAATTTTATGCCTTTTAGATAGTCCCAGGGTCTCAGACCCCAACATTTCCTTAGTGGCCCGCGAGATCATGCAGCGGATGATCCGACAATTTGCTGCTGAATATACCTCAAAAACTAGCTCTACTCAGGACTCCAGTTCGCCCAATAGCACAAAGAACCAAAGCCTGCTGAAAGCATCTCCGGTTGCCTCATCCACTGCAGGTGCAAGAGCTCAAAATCCCGTGCTCAGCAAACTTCTCATGGCTGACCAGGACTCACCCTTGGACCTCACTGTCAGAAAGTCACAGTTGGACTCTAGTGAACAAGGTATGCATGACACATCTCTGTCTAGTTTTTGCGGGTGGTTACAATATGTTAATCATAAATTATTAAATGAATAGAAGAACAAATTATAATTGAGAGATTTGGGAAATGCCCCAGCAGATTGACACATTGTACATGAGATTTAAAATCTGTGCTCTCCTCCAAATCTGCAAGTGTGGTGGCTCTTTTGGGAAAGATGTTTCTGCCTTGTCATATTGAACGTTGGAAGCACTGAAGATCTATATAATGGCAGAGATGAAACCACATTTCAAAATACCAGAACCTCTTCTGAACTTTAGAAATCATGAAATTTTTCATTCATTCATGCCTCTGCAATCCAATATTTTTCATTTCATGTTGATGGTAGCTGTTTCTATTTATGCAGTAGCTGGCCCCGATCAATATTTGTCTGTAGCTTTGTCTATAATCCTTTAAAAAAAAAAAGCTTCATTGGGCATGTAAACAATTTTTACTTGTTTGTTTGTTTGTTTATGAAATTTGTATGGTACCCAAATTCATACACTTCTTCATTGTGAAACAGTTTGGAAGAGTACAAAACAGAAAAACTAATACACACCTAGAAGAGCAAAACACACTTCTTTATCAAAGAACATTTGCACAAGTGGTCTGTTACCTATCTTAGCCAAAGCCCTGAGGAAGAGCCATATCTTCGGGACCATAGATTCCTGAGAGATCTGTTGCAGATGGTATGCACTGCAACAGAAAAGATTTAATTCCTGGTCCTATGATGACATTGTTTAATTGATGGAATCCAATGCATGCCAACATTATCAAAATGAACAGGATTGGCAGACATCAACAGGAGATAGATGATCCTCCAGATAGTCGGGTGCTATGCCACTGAATAGCTTTATAGATAATAAGCGGCACCTTGAATTATATTCTGAGGCCCACTTGTAACCAGGATAGCTCAGAAAGCAGAAGGGTTCCATGGACTTATTGTGGCATGGCCATACTTCCCCATGCTGTCACATTCTGAACCAGCTGCAGCTTCCAAGTGGTCTTTAGTGGTAGCTCCCCATAGAGTGCATGGAAATAGTCCACATGTCAGGTGATCAAAATTTGAGCGTTCCAAGGCCCTCTTAATCCAGAAACTGGTGGAATTGATGTACAAGATGAATCTGTGTAAACACTTTCCTGGTCAAAGCTATCAACTGCTTTTCCAAACAGGAGCTCTGAGAAGTGGCGCCTTCCAAGCAGGAGCTGGCGCTCCGGCCGCGCCCCTCTTGCGTGCGATGGGCTGCGCGGCGTGGAAAGGGGCTCCCGCGACCCCACCGCTGCGATGGCGCTCAGAAGGCTGGAGGTGCGGGCAGGTCCCGGGGGGTGGCTGGGAGAGGGCAAGAGGTGCCGGGATGAGGATGGGAGGCTCCAGGTTGGCGGGTGTGAGAGGGTAGCCGACGGCTCTGAGGCGTGCAGAACCTCCATGCATCTTCCGAGGCGCTGGATGTGCCGCCACTTGGCTCTCCGCCAGAGCCTCCCCCCCTCCCCTGGCAATTCTGCGGAGCTGCTTGTGCATCCTTGGCAGCGCCTCCTCCCTTCAATCTCTCTCTCCTTCCTTCCTTTCCCCTTCAGTATCCTTCCTTGTCCATATCCTTCCTTTCCCCTTCAATCTTCTTCCTTTCCCCTTCAATCTTCCTTCCTTCCTTCCATCTCCATCTCCATTCCTTCCCCTTCAATCTCCCTCCTTCCTTCCTTCCTTCCCCTTCAATCTCCTTCCTTCTCCATCTCCTTCCTTTCCCCTTCAATCTTCCTTCCTTCCATCTCCATCTCCATCCCTTCCCCTTCAATCTTTCCTTCCTTCCTTCCTTCCTTCCTTCCTTCCTTCCTTCCTTCCTTCCTTCCTTCCTTCCTTCCTTCCTTCCTTCCTTCCTTCCTTCCTTTTCCATCTCCTTCCTTTCTCCTTCAATCTTCCTTCCTTCTCCATCTCCTTCCTTTCCCCTTCAGTATTCCTTCCTTTCATCTCCATCCCTTCCCCTTCAATCTCTCTCTCTCCTTCCTTCCTTCCTTCCTTCCTTCCTTCCTTCCTTCCTTCCTTCCTTCCTTCCTTCCTTCCCCCCTTCAATCTCCTTCCTTCTCCATCTCCTTCCTTTCCCCTTCAATCTTCCTTCCTTCCATCTCCATCTCCATCCCTTCCCCTTCAATCTCTTTCTCCTTCCTTCCTTCCTTCCTTCCTTCCTTCCTTCCTTCCTTCCTTCCTTCCTTCCTTCCTTCCTTCCTTCCCTCCCTCCCCTCCAATCTCTTTCCTTTTCCATCTCTTTCCTTTCCCCTTTAATCTTCCTTCCTTCCCCTTCCCTCCCTCCCAACATTTTTGAGCAAGGAAGAGTAAGCTTCTCCAGCGAACATTGCTATATTGTTTTTGTGATTAATCACTATGCTTTAATTATGTTCAATTCGTAACAATGAAAATACACCCTGCATATCAGATATTTACATTACAATTCATAACAGTAGCAAAATTACAGTTATGTTGTTGTTAATTGTTGTTAATTGTTGTTAATTGCGAAGTCGTGTCCGACCCCTCGCAATCCCATGGACAATGTTCCTCCAGGTCTTCCTGTCCTCTACCATCATCTGGAGTCCATTTAAGTTCACACCTACTGCTTCAGGTGACTCCATCCAGCCATCTCATTCTCTGTCGTCCCCTTCTTCTATTGCCCTCAATCTTTCCCAGCATTAGGCCCTTCTCCAGTGAGTCCTTCCTTCTCATTAGGTGGCCAAAGTATTTGAGTTTCAACTTCAGGATCTGGCCTTCTAAAGAGCAGTCGGGGTTGATCTCTTCTAGGACTGACCGGTTTGAACGCCTTGCAGTCCAAGGGACTCGCAGGAGTCTTCTCCAGCACCATAGTTCAAAGGCCTCAATTCTTTGGCGCTCAGCCTTTCTTATGGTCCAACTTTCACAGCCATACATTGCAACTGGGAAAACCATGGCCTGGACTATACGCACTTTTGTTGGCAGGGTGATGTCTCTGCTTTTTAGTATGCTGTCTAGATTTGCCATAGCTTTCCTCCCCAGGAGCAAGCGTCTTTTAATTTCTTGGCTGCAGTCCCCATCTGAGGTGATCTTGGAGCCCAGAAAAATAAAATCTGTCACTACCTCCATTTCTTCCCCATCTATTTGCCAGGAATTGAGAGGGCCGGATGTCATGATTTTGGTTTTCTTAATGTTGAGTTTCAAGCCAACTTTTGAACTCTTCTTCTTCACCCGCATCAAGAGGCTCTTTAGTTCCTCTTCACTTTCTGCCATTAGAGTGGTATCATCTGCATATCTTAGGTTGTTGATATTTCTCCCTGCAATCTTAATTCCAACTTTTGATTCATCTAGCCCTGCCTTTCTCATGATGTGCTCTGCATATAAGTTAAATAGGCAGGGCGACAGTATACAGCCTTGCCGGACTCCTTTTCCAATTTTGAACCAATCAGTGGTTCCGTGTCCAGTTCTCACTGTTGCTTCTTGACCCGCATATAGGTTTCTCAAGAGACAAATAGATGGTCTGGTATTCCCATCTCTTTAAGAACTTGCCACAATTTGTTGTGATCCACACAATCAAAGGCTTTAGCATAGTCAATGAAGCAGAAGTAGATGTTTTTCTGGAACTCCCTAGCTTTCTCCATGATCCAGCGTATGTTGGCAATTTGATCTCTAGTTCCTCTGCCTCTTCGAAATCCTGCCTGTACTTCTGGTAGTTCTCGATCCACATATTGCTGGAGTCTAGCTTGTAGGATTTTAAGCATAACTTTACTAGCATGTGAAATGAGTGCAATGGTGCGATAGTTTGAACATTCTTTGGCATTGCCTTTCTTTGGAATTGGAATGTAAACTGACCTTTTCCAATCCTGTGGCCACTGTTGAGTTTTCCAAATTTGCTGGCAAATTGAGTGTAGCACTTTTACTGCATCGTCTTTTAAGATTTTGAATAGCTCAGCTGGAATACTGTCACCTCCACTAGCTTTGTTGTTGCTCAGATTTTCTAAGGCCCATTTCACTTCACATTCTAGGATGTCTGGTTCGAGGTCAGTGACCATCTCATTGTGGTTATCTGGGATGTTAAGCTCATTCTTGTATAGTTCTTCTGTGTAGTTTTGCCATCTCTTCTTAATCTCTTCTGCCTCTGTTAGGTCCCTGCCATTTTGGTCCTTTATCATGCCCATCTTTGCATGAAACGTTCCCTTCATATCTCCAATTTTCTTGAAGAGATCTCTGGTCCTCCCTATTCTGTTGTTTTCTTCTATTTCTTTGCACTGTTCATTTAAGAAGGCATTCTTATCTCTTCTAGCTACTCTCTGGAATTCTGCATTCAATTGGGTGTATCTTTCTCTTTCTCCTTTGCCTTTCGCTTCCCTTCTTTCCTCAGCTATTTGCAAAGCTTCCTCAGACAGCCATTTTGCTTTCTTGCATTTCTTTTTCTTTGGGATGGTTTTAGTTGCTACCTCTTGTATAATGTTGCGAACTTCCATCCATAGTTCTTCAGGCACTCTGTCTATCAGATCTAATTCCTTAAATCTATTTGTCACCTCCACTGTATATTCATTAGGAATATGATTTAGTTCATACCTGAGTGGCCTAGTGCTTTTCCCTACTTTTTTTTAATTTAAGCCTAAATTTTGCAACGAGAAGCTCATGATCTGAGCCACAATCAGCTCCTGGTCTTGTTTTTACTGACTGTATATAGCTTCTCCATCTTTGGCTGCAGAGCACATAGTCAATCTGATTTCTATGTTGACCGTCTGGTGATATCCATGTGTAGAGCCATCTCTTGGGTTGTTGGAAAAGAGTGTTTGTTATGACCATCGTATTCTCTTGACAAAATTCTATTAGCCTGTGCCCTGCTTCATTTTGTACTCCAAGGCCAAACTTGCCTGTTATTCCGGTTATCTTTTGGCTTCCTACCTTAGCATTCCAATCCCCCATGATGATAAGGACATCATTTTTTGGTGTTAATTCTATAAGGTGCTGTAGGGCTTCATAGAACCGGTCAATTTCATCCTCTTCAGCACCAGTGGTTGGGGCATAGATTTGGATTATTGTGATATTGAATGGTTTGCCTTGGATTCGAATTGAGATCATTCTGTCATTTTGGGGATTGTATCCCAGTATTGCTTTTCCTATTCTTTTATTGACTATGAAGGCTACTCCATTTCTTCTGAGGGATTCTTGCCCACAGTAGTATACCTGATGGTCATCTGAGTTAAATTCACCCATTCCTGTCCATTTTAGTTCGCTGATTCCTAAGATGTCGATGTTCAGTCTTGTCATCTCTTTTTTGACTACGTCTAGCTTGCCTTGATTCATGGATCTTACATTCCAGGTTCCTATGGAGAAAAAATCTTTACAGCATCGGACTTTCCTTTCACCACCAGATATATCCACAGCTGAGCGTCCTTTCGGCTTTGGCCCAGTCGCTTCATTCTTTCTGGCGCTACTAGTACTAGCCCTCTGCTCTTCCCCAGTAGCATATTGGACACTTTCCGACCTGAGGGGCTCATCTTCCAGCGTCATATCTTTTTGCCTTTTAGTACTGTCCATGGGGTTTTCATGGCAAAGATACTGGAGTGGTTTGCCATTTCCTTCTCCAGTGGATCACATTTTGTCAGAACTCTCTGCTATGACCTGTCCGTCTTGGGTGGCCCTGCATGGCATAGCTTATAGCTTCATTGAGTTACACAAGCCCCTTCGCCACGAGAAGGCAGTAATCCATAAAGGGGTACAGTTATGAAGTAGCAACAAAAATAATTTTATGGTTGGGGGTCACCACAACATGAGGAACTGTATTAAAGGTTCGGGGCATTAGGAAGGTTGAGAACCACTGTTCTAAACCATGAAAATCTTCCCAAAAGTCGTCTTATACGCTGGAAAATACGGTATTTTTAAAATTCCAGAAATGACTGAATAAAAAACCAGGAAGAAGGAGAAACAGAAAGGGATGAGACGTGAAGAAGAAGCATTGTAATCCCATATTGTGACGACTGATAAAAAATAAAGACAGGTTTTATTTCCCTAGTGTTGAGTTAGATTGAGAGCAAGATGCAAGAGAATGTGCATTGAACTTGAGAGAGGACATAATGAAAAGCTTCATTTTTATTCTGAGTTTAGGCTGAGGGAGAGAGACAAAGAAGTGAGCTTTGTGTTTGTTCTACAGTTTACAGTATATCCACCCAATTCTCAGAAACTCTTGAGTAGCTTACAGTGGAAATGTAGTAAACTTATAATTGTATGAATTTATTTTTTTAATTAAACTGATGTGCCACAGTTTGGGAATACTTTGGTCATACACATTCCCAAATACTTTCCTGAAGAACTGTGTTTTTATAGCTCTCTGAAAATGTTGCAAGGCTTGGATGATTGCGTATCTGGTGATATGGTGTTCCAAAGCCATTACTGAGAAGTGTTGAACCTTGGGTCCCTAAAGTTGGCCCTCCTGCAACGATGGGACCCTCCACAAATACTTCCCCCATAAGTGCTTAGTGTTCAGGCATATTCTACCTGAAGAAACTAATCACAAAGATACTGAGGCCCTGAGCTTCATAGGGCTTTAAAAGTGATAACCAGGGCTTTGAAATGCACTGGGCTGCCCCTACCTGGAAGATTCAGTTATTACAATATGTGGCAATCTAGGCAATTAGGGGAGCAATAAACTTTGCCTGTAGAACCATTAAAACAGAAACTAAGAAGGCAAACAACTGGCAGCCTTCTTAGCTCATGTTTTAATGGAGTTCTACAGGCAAAGATTAGTGCTCCATTAATTGCCTGGACTACTGCATATTGTTATAGCTGAATCTTCCACTTAGACTTCAAGGGCAGTCAATGTAGAATACAACTGTGTGGTGAGAAGGACACAAGTAACTATGAATAGGGTCGCCTGATCCAGGAAAGGTGATAAGAATGTTAAGAGAAATGTACTGTTGTCTTCCTTGGTAGAGGAACTCAAAATTTTAATTGACTATCTGGTGATATTAACAAATTATATACTTATATAAATGGACCTCATTATCCATTATTTCAGTTCCTGCAATTACATGAATGATAAAAAATGTCATTATTTGCTAGAAAATATTTCATATATCTTTAAGTTTGGCATGTGGTTCTGGTTTTGAGTATTTTTGTGTGTTTTTTATATGTACGAAATTGAGAATGGATTTTTGTGCAAGCACAGACATTGTTTTTCAAGGTTTTGTTATCCATTGTTTTGCTATCCATGGATAGGCCGGAATGGAATCCCTACAAGTAATGAGGGCTTTAAAAGGCATTGCCTACTTAGTAGTCACCTACCCGATTTGCAGATGTCAGAGACAAAGTATGTATTGCTAAGATGATATGAGTTTCTTTTAACCACCAATTGTTTGAGTAATTATTAAATAAGAACACATTGACAGTATAAAAATTGTGAGTGTTACTTAGCTATGTAAGAAAAGATCTGCAATAAGCTTCTTCATTAGTGTGCTAAAGATAGTGTGGATGTCACTTAGCAAGCAGCAATTTTGATCTGAATTGGTTAGAAAATGAAAAGCTTGAATTTTTCCTCTTTTTCACAATGCAAAACTTACAAACATAATCTTAGATGAGGACATTTATAACTACAGTAGTAGAAGTGTGCATTTTGAGTGGATGTAGATATTCATTACTCAGACAATTATTATTTCCCTCTTATTGCTTCTTTAGAGTTGTTTATAATACTTTTTTTTTACAAAGTTATGCATTTCCTAAAAGTTATTATTCTTAATTTAGCATTCCCAAGAGATTTTCCTTGGAGTTAGTTTAGAGAAGAGTGTTTGACTACCTGGGAAAATTCTAGAAAAAAGAATCAAGCAGTGGGTTTGCAAGCACTTTAGAAAGGAGCACTGTGATTACTATAACCATCATTTCATTAAACATAGGCTACGTTAAACAAATCATACTGTTTTTTTTTTTTTAACAAAGTGACTAAGTCAGTAGACCAAGAGAATGTTATGGATATAATGTGTCTAGATTCTAGTAAGACATTCAATGAAGTTGATCAGAGCCCCCTTCTTAATAAAATAGAACAATGTGGGATGGGTGGTCCCACTGCTAAATGAATTCACAGTTCATTGAACAACTGTACCCAATGTGTGTCATTAATTGATATACATCTAGGTGGAGTAAAGTATACAATAAGATACTTCAGGGTTCTGTCATGGATCAAGTGCTCTTCAAAATATTTATAAATTATTTAGAAGAGGATTTAGTAGTGGTGCTCAGCAAATTTATAGATACCACAAATCTGGGGTCAGCAAAGGATTGCCAACACCTCAAAAGACAAACTCAGGATTCAAAAGGATCTTGATAGACTTGAACATTGAATCAACAAAATGCAATTCAGTGGTAAGAAATGTAGTGTTCTGCATTTAGATAGAAAATGCAAAATGTACAGATACAAGATAAATGGTACCTGGCTTAGCAGTTGCACCTATGAGAAGGACCAGATTGTTCTGCCAACTACAGATTAAACATGAACTAGCAGCTGCAGCTACCAAGAATGAATTCTGTCTTCTATGTCAAAATCATAGAAAGTGATATTTATTTATTTATTTATTTATGAGGCTTATATACCGCTTTAAGTGCAAGCACTCTCTAAGCGGTATACACCAGTAAGCAATGTATATATATATTTTACATTGCCCCCAACAATCTGGGTCCTCATTTTACCTACCCCAGAAGGATGGAAGGCTGAGTCAACCTTGAGCTGGTGAGATTTGAACCGCTGACCTGCTGAACACAGTCAGCTAAAGTGGCCTGCAGTACTGCACTCTAACTGCTGCGCCACCTCGGCTCTATGCTGTATCAGACCACTTTGGAATATTGTACCCAGTTTTGATTACTACAATAATAAAAAAAAGAATGCTGAGAAACTGGAAAGAGTGCAGAAAAGAGCAACATGCTTGGTGAATAGCTTGGAGGCTAAATCATAAGAATAGTTAAAATAATTGACTATATTTAGCTTGAATAAGAAAAGATGAAGATGAGATATAACAGCAGTATTTCTGTATTTGTAGGGCTGTCACAGGGAAAAAAATATGGATTTATTTTCCATACTGCCCAAGGGGAGGACAGGAACCAATAAGTGAAACTTTACAGAGATAACGAGGAATTTTCTGACTGTGAGAGCTGTTAAGTAATGGAACAGCAGCATGGGTGCTCCATCACTGGTTTGACAGCCATTTGTCTAAGATGGTCCAAGGATTTCTGCCCTTGGCAAGTCGGACTAGAACTTCTCCAAGGTTCTTTTTAAACCTATGATTCTATGCTTCTAAGTAATTTTATTTGAAAATCACATGGAGAAGAAATGTTTAGCCAGTCTCCATGTCTAAAATCTCAAAATATTTTGCACATCTTTCTAGGATATAGCCTGCTGATGTAGAACTTGCACAATTAACATTTTTGGCTAGAAATATTTATAGTAATTGAAAAGCTTTTCACCTTTGCTAGCAAAAATATTGGAAGATTTTTGCTTTGGGATTTTTTGCTAAATTTAAGAATATGTTATAAACAATATAAATAAAAATAGTTATTGAATGTGAAGCTCAGGAAAACTCGTTGAATTGATCCCAGATTAACAAGTTATGTTTTTAATAAGTTTTCAAATATGTGTTTGGTTTTCCCGTTCTCAAATTACGCTCATGTTGTTGCAGACGGAGTGCTTGATCTGTCCACTAAGAAAAGTCCTTGTGCAGGCAATGCCTCCTTGAGCCATTCACCTGGCTGCTCTGCTACTCCTGGGAATGGGTAAGAGAAATTCTTAATATTTTGCTCACACCTAAGACGGGTTATAATTGAAGTCAACTGCTCGTGATAGGTTGAGTTTTTAATTTTTTGGATTATTAATTAATTTAGAAAATTACTTATTTCCAGTGTTCAACTATAATTTCAATGGAAATAACCAGTCTTTCTGTTGAATATAGACATAGGATTTTTCAGCTTTTAAAGTCTACATTTATATACAATGATTAACACCCACAGACTTGATGCAAAAGCACTTTAGACCATTATTATGCTTAAAAACCTACCAAGAATTGTATGAGGCACTAGTTGTGTGAACCAGCACTTTGACTTGAAGCTGTACAAGTTACATAGGTTCTATTTAAAACTTATATACATTTATATTATCATAGCAACTCTATAAAGTGTATATTATGCTTGCAGTTATAGCATTCCTACATACAAGTAGTCCTCAACTTACAACCAAATGACTGTTTGAAGTTACAGTGGCACTGAAAAAAGAGACTTATGGCTGATCCTCCCACTTATGGCTGTTGCAGCATCCACCAATCACATGACCAAAATTAAGGCACTTGGCAGTGATTACTGTGTCATAAGGTCACATGATTACCACTTGCAACCTTTCCAACTAGTTTCTAACAAGCAAAATCAATAGGGGAAGCCAGATTCATTTAACAACTGCATGATTCATTTAACAACTATGTGATTTTCTTAACAACTGCAGTTTCGCTTAACAATCATGGCTAAATAGGTTGTAAAATCTGACATGACTCATTTAACAATTGCCTTGCTTAGCAACAGAAATTCTGGTCCTAATTGTGGTCTTAAGTCAAGAACTTTCTGTATAGATCATTTACGGAGGTACTATTATGTCTGCATATGAACTATGCTTAGAGGGTCTGCTGCAATTTTTAGAGGATCTTCAGATAGGTTTCCTGCCATCATCTTTGGAGTAGTGGATACTGCTTTTCACAATTAATATGGCTACAGCAAAGTTTTCATATAGAAAACAGTGATCTGGAGTGAAAACAGAATGTAGTAACCATTCATCATAATACATTATCCCAGGTGCAATATCAAAGACAATAATAACAGTTTAATTGCCGTTGAAAAACTTATTGAGATGAAACATGTCAGTGAGGTTAAATCGCCTCTTATAGGAGGTTTAATTGGTTTTATTGCACACTGCAAAGAAACGATCCTTATAATCCCTTTCAACTCTATAATTCTTTTGAGTCTGAGGTGAAGGATCCTTAGCAGCTATCTACAACCATGTTGTTGATGGCTCTGTCAGTTTGGGTTAGTCAGCTCTGCAGACTGATATAAGAGATCATATGCGATTGAATAGCTGAGGCCAGGTCATTTTTCAGTAGACTGAAATGTTAATAGCTGATAGTTTCAATAATTTAACAGAAACCAATAAAGAACGCTTAATATTAATGAACACAGTGTTTGGACAAGAGTGCCAAAGCAAACTAGTGGGTGAAGAATTGTACAAAAAATTGTTAAGATATGGGCAAAGAGGTGAAATAAACCATTATTATAACATAGTACTGTCATCACACTAGTTTCTTATGATTCATTAGGTCAAGGTAGATTTGTAATTACTTGTATTGAGGATGTTTTCAAAATAAAATATTGAATAAAAGCACTTATGATACTATTCTAACTATACTGGGAAAAACTTCTCTTGAAAAAGCTTGTAGAGTTTTGTCAGTTCTGAATTCTTAGCTTAGTCATTTAGAAGTAAAGAGATACAGGATGGCATTGTAAGGGCTATAGTAGATACAAGAGTAAGGATAGACTACATAAAAATATTTTCTTCAGGCTTAGTTTAGCCATGTAAATATGTTGTTATAATTAGTTGGACTTCTACATAAAATAGCATTGTTTGCAGCTACCAATTTTAATTGCAAAATGAAATATTTAAATTGATGATTACATGGATTCTTTATTTAGCCCTGTGATCTCTAGGTTCCTAAAACCCCAAAGTTTCTTAAAGAGGAATATCTACTGTATCTGTTCATTTTCTGAACAATTTAGCATAATTTCTGTAATTTGTTTTAAACATTGCACACCACATAAAAAGTTGAAGATCATCTTCAAAAGATCAGCATATTTTGCTGTGTCTTATGTAAAGAAGTTGGCATTAAGAGTTGTCAAACAGTACTGTTTGCCTATGTTTTTGCTTGTATGTTAAGCTTAATGCCATTGAACATTTGTCTTCTTAATTAATGTTCCCTGGACAATGGTTCATTGTTATCAGACAAAGTAGAAATATTCAGCATATGTTAAATGTCTATCAGAAGTATAAACCACGTGGCTGTTCTGTTCAGAAACAATGAATAATACCTGTTATCAAAACAACATTTTAAATTTGGATTCTAATATTGAAAACAGATACCTAAAGGATTAGAATCCCTAAAATTTTTTTAAATACATTCTTTGTCCATTCCATGCTTTCAGAACTTTCCAGTTGTAAAATGGGAAAACGTGCATTATGATTGTCCTGATGGAAACAACAAAGAAGAATGTGTTACATATGTTTTGGGGGGACTATTTATTAGAATACACTGTAAATAATTTATATATTTTAATAGTCTGATTAAACTGGATAAAATTAAAATAGATTAATTCCTAATCTGTTGAATTAGTAAAGTTGGAATGTGCATAGACTGCTGAGTACTGTAGTTTTGAAATAGAAACTGTTTCTTTATGACTTGGCATAAATAAAAAATGAGACCAATGTTTTTGTAACTCATGATGTCATTTTTAAAAAAATAAATGAAGTCTGGACATTAGTACTAAATTTGTGAACTTTTCATTATTTTTATTTTTGTGTTTAATGGAAAGAAAAATTATTTGAGTTTTGCTGAACAGTTTTGATGCTGCAGCAATTAGCATGTATAGTGTGAATCCATATCGTCCAGAGCTTTCACTTTTTATAAAAAGTGCAGATGGTTGGTGTGTATGAGTGTGTGTTGAACTTGCTGCAATTTGTCACTTGGCTTACTCTTTTATTACTGTACTTGTTTAGTGGTAACGTCACACTAGTAATACAGTCGTGAATAGACTCTGGTGATTATTCTTTTCTAATCTATAATTAAGATGCTATTTTCAGACACTTGCGCGAAGTCTTATCTGCTCCAAGATTTTGTGAACCCAACCAAAGACCAGCTGACAGGTTTCATTTTTCTTTGCCCAAAAAGCTTCTCTTTGTTTTTTTGAACATTTTAAAAAACTGACTGCTGAGACTTAAAAAAAATAATAATAAAACAACAAAAGTGATGTTACCCAAGCAAGGCCTTCTAATAAAGGAGTGGCCCCCTCACCCATTCCTCCCTACCTGTGCAAGTCCTGCTCACATCAGTTTCCTTCCATCCAATTAGGCGACCTGGGAGACCCAGCCAGCACCATGCAGAGGGACTTCGGAGTGGTGATGGGGTACCCCCAAGAAGCTGGCAGGATGGAACGAGGGAAGGGTCTGGCCACTCCACATCTCTCAAAGTTCCATTGGCTCGATCACTGCAGATAAGTGAAGAACTGCTGAGCAGAAACCAGCATGCTACCGCTGCCAGCCATGGGCCATCTGGGTTGCAGAATCACGGACAGCACATGATACTATCCAGGGAGGCTTCTTGGGCAAAACCACACTACGAATTCAACTTTACCCGAATGAAATTCAGGGGAAATGGTGCACTCCACAACATTAGTGACCTTCCTTTTCTTACAGAAAACTCTGCTTTTCAAAAAATGGCACTTCAAACTAAACAGGATGGGAAAAAGGACATGAGCCATTCAACTCCTGTGGATTTAAAGATACCACAAGTTCGAGGCATGGACCTTTCATGGGAATCCCGTTCTGGTGACCAGTATAGCTATAGCTCTTTGGTGATGGGTTCACAAACGGAGAGCGCGCTTAGTAAAAAGTTAAGGGCTATCCTTCCGAAACAAAATAGGAGGAGCTTGCTGGATCCTGGACCAGATTCCTGGGGCTCAGATGCTGAGCAATCTACCTCTGGACAGCCATATTCCACCTCTGATCAGGAGGGTGATCCTGGCTCTAAGCAACCTCGGAAGAAAAGAGGCAGATACAGACAATACAACAGTGAGATATTGGAGGAAGCGATTTCTGTGGTGATGAATGGGAAAATGAGCGTTTCCAAAGCTCAGAGTATTTATGGGATTCCCCACAGCACCCTGGAGTATAAAGTGAAAGAGAGGCTGGGCACTTTGAAAAACCCTCCAAAGAAAAAAATGAAATTAATGCGTTCGGAGGGACAGGATGTCTCTGTAAAGCTTGAGATAGATCCCCAGGGAGAGGCAGCACACAGTGCAAATGAGTCAAAGGACGATTAGGGATGTTGTAGAGTGCCAATTGCATACTAAACTGGGTGAGCACTATGGCATTGTTCAACTCCAGCCGTGTGTACCTAACTCCTCTTCAGTCACTGGGTGCAGAACCATTGCAGAGACTTGTGAGGGCACAGTGGGTGCTCTGAATGTTGCATATTTGTAAATTTTCTGGCTCAGTATGGCTTAGAGCCTTTTGTGTTTTGTTTTGTTTTTTGGCCTTTTGCATGTTTCTCTAATATTTTATAGAGAATTGAGTTACCTCACAAAAAATGCAGACATGGAAGTGGACTGCTTGCCTCTTGAGCCTGCATGGACTTTCAGTTATTTTACTGGGTTTGCTTTTTTCATATGGCCTTTTAAATAATAATAATAATAATAATAATAATCCCTTTCTTGAGCTCTTAATACCAGACTTCAAAAACAAAACTGGATTACTGGATTATCCTTAGATTTTCTCTTTTTTGTTCCCTTGGATCCAGTTGGTTGGAAAGAATTTTTTAAAATAATAATTGGTCTTTTGGAATTCAGAGATTTGGGGCTGGTTTGTTATTAGATCTAATAGGGGCCATTTTATTTTAAATTGGGAGGTTTTGTTTTTATTGTTTGCAATTTACTTAGTGCTCACCTGGTGAGGCAGGTGGGGATGGGACGGGGATCTTTACATGCGTACACTACCTGCAAAATGCTTTGGTTAATTTCTTTGGAACACTACTTTCATAGTAATTTTGTTCATTCTTTTATAAAGGTGAGGGTTGGACCTGCCTGTTTGAGGATGTAGCCTTATCTCAACAACTCCTTGTATTCTAGGAGAATCAGGGTACACTGAATGATATACTAGGGTATTCCTCATTTTAACAAGAATATGGTTTTTGTGACCAATATGCTTTTCGTAGATTTGATCCTGAGTTCACTAGACTGTGTTTCCAACAATTAGTTAAAACATACCTTTCTGGGGGTCAGAAATACAAATAACAGTTTACTGTATTCTTGGGCAAACAAAACAAAAACCCTCGTAAATTCACTAATTTCTAAATATTACAACCTCAGTAGTCTGACTAAATAGTTGTATAAATGAAGGATCTATGTTATAACGTTCAGGGAAGAAATTTTTACAAATTTTAATAAAACCTACGATCAGATCATTCTGGTCTGGTTTAGGCTGAGCATCTTATTTAGCTATAACGCTGTCAGGGTTGAACACCCAATGGGTGTTTCCTTTTTAAATACTAAAGTTGCCAGTAACAGGAAATGTTCTTACATCTCCTGACATTTTGTTTTTGTTTTATCCACTATTGTTTTAATAGTGGAGTAGCACACACATAGGTAGATCATCAGAAGCACTCCTAATCCACTATTCAGCTTTTTTTAGTTAGCATCTTTTCATTCTTATATTTTAAGCTTTAAGTAAAGCTTTCTGGATCTGCAGCTTCACTGAATTAGACGTAACAGTTCTTCAGGTGGAGAGATAATTTGATCATAGCTGTGCAAAAGATTGATAGGACTCCATTCTGCTTTGCACAACCAAAAGAGGCAATGGAATTTGTTTGTAAGATGACATTAAGCACTGTTCATGGTTAGTTTTTGTCCCGATGACTGAAAGTGGATGCTATGATTCATAGGAAGATGGCCTAAATAACCCCAATGACTGCTGCTTGAATTTGGGGCAATTAGTTGTGGGCCTTCTTGATTTGTTGATTGAATACAGTGGATTGCTGGGAAGCAGAGGTTAGGCACACCATTGCTGTCATGTTAAATATGCACTTCTCATTCTTGAGAGAGATTGGGCTTCTAGCCCATATATGCTTTGTACTACTGTTAATGTACTTTTTTTTTTAATTTGCTTAATGTATTTCCATTCTCAAAAAGCAGAGTTCCTTAGCTGTCCTAAATGCCATCTCAGTACAGACATCTATTTAAAGCCCTGTAGTAGTATAGAAACTCTGCAATATAATCCAGTTTCACTGGAGATTGCAATAAAAATGCACTGTTTTTAAATTTGTGGTTTCATCTGCTATTGAAAGTGGGGGAGAGGGTTTTGCTGCAAGCGAGAAGTGTAACACTTGCATAGACTTTAGCTGTCTGAGGTTTAACCTTTTGTGACTGTTTTTATTTAAGTGATGTATGAATTGAGTTCCGTAAAATTTATTATTGTATTTGGTGTGCTCATTTTACTTACTTAATATTTTCAATTTGTATCATTAAGTGGATGACAATCGTGCAGCAGAAAAATGGTGTGCCTACCCTTTAATGCTGCAGTTTAGAAGAGAACTAATTGTATGTCATTTCAGACCATAGGTTGAGAACTGTAAATAGATAGTGATAGTTGTGTATTCTTATTGCTTTGGTTAGAAAATGAATTAAACAACCAAACAATTTTCTCAGATTTAAGTCCTGGGACCTGAAGATTGTAAGATTCTCATCTACAAAGCTTTGAAATGTAACACTTATTATCTGTGATCACTTTCTATTCAGGTAAAAAAAAAAAACCCAGAAGCTTTGGAACAACCATATTTCCTCAAAAGGTCTCTGTTTTTAAAAAGAAAAGAAAAAGAAAAGAAAAAAGTAGGTTATTTTTAAAGCACTAATTGCATTACTTTAGTAATTGCAATATAAAATAGCCATTATTGTTTTGTGAAGCATGTTTAAAATTAGTTGTCCCTTTTTAAAATTTCAGAAGCCTCTCAAAAATATACAAAACGCTGCTGAATATTCAAAAGATATAAATATATCTATATTTTATCTTATTGTAGGTTTTGTAAACTTAGTCGTAATATTCAGGTGCACCTTTTTAATGTTAAACTTTTGTTATAAGATTTCATCTTACTTGTTTTTTCCAAGGTGGTTCATCCTGTGGCTGTATCTTGCTTTAGATCCCTAAGTGGTCCATTAAAGTCAGACTGCTCTAATAGGCGCCTTTGGTGTAGCTTTGAGTAGTATTTGGGAGCATTTCGCCTGTAGAAAAAATGGAATCAGTGTTTACCCATTAGCATGTTCAATTTTCTGCTGAACAGACATTTGCATGACCAAAATCCCAACTGATCATAGTGGGAAAATGTGGTTTGCTACTGTCTTTGTAAGAAAATCTTTGTTTCCTACCATTTCTAATAACTGGACGTTCTTGTAAACTTTTGCAAGAAATGTTTGCCTTGTTTTCCTTGCTGATTTTCACGCAGGTTAAGGAATAGCCAAGTGCAATGCTTCAGAAGTTAAGTCTGTAGGAGGAAAATCGGGGCATTTTTATCATGTATGTTTAACCTACAACCAGAATTTTTGTAGAAATATGGCTTATCTGTTGATGGTGTTGTATGCACCTGCACAACAGAAAGAAACTGTGAACATCATTTATGGCAGCCTCTGCTTTTAGAGACAGTGTATAAAGGGTGAGTTCTCCCTTTCCCCCCAGCCCAGAAGATTAATGACTGTGTGTGGATTTGAGAGAAAGAGAGGGAGAGAGAGAGAATGTGAGTATGTGAGTGTGTAAAAAAATGTTTAAAATCAAGTTTTCTATTGTACTGGAATTTAGATGTTGGTGAGTGACCTTTTGCTGCAGCAGGTTATACAGATGACTAAGGCTTAGTGTTGTAGGGGTACAAGTGTGGAGTTAATTATTGTACAGTTCTGTGGAACAAGCCCAGTGTGTAGAAAATGTACCAGTTTTTTACTTGGATCTGTAAAATATAAAATTTTCTGGAAAATCTGGAGATCTGATGAACAATTACTTCCATATCAGCTATTTTAGGACCTCACTTCCAATGCCCCAGGCCTCTTCACCATAATTATCAAGAATTCAAGTTATAGGATTCAGGCTGTGGTCTTACTTTTAATTATCCAAGTGAAATAATCCCCAAATTGATTAATTAGGAGCATTTAAAGATCCTACACTTGCATCCCTCCAAATGCACCAAGAATAAATCAATATTTCTTGAGAATTCAAAGGCTGCTCTCAACTGCCTAACGAAAAGCCTAGATTGTATGTATTTTTAAATATGTTTTGAAACAAATCTAAATAACTTCTAATATTGTTAATAAAAATACAATGTGTCTTTTAAAGAAGAGAGCAGTATGGGACTGTTTTCTTTATCATAGTTGATTTTGAATATTCTCAAGTATAAGCAGTTGAAGGAACCTGATTTTAAGTAGATACAATATTTAGTCAAAACTTCTAATCCAGTACATTTTGGATTACATGCTTATAAATATTGTGAGTTTTTTAGAGGTGAAAAGAGTTATGGCACATAGGCAGATGGGGAAGCACATTTACCATTCTCTTCTCCTATTTAGAAGCACCTTGCTAGAGCTCTAGAAATTTAAGTCATCTTCTTCAGTTCAAAGGTGGAAAGATTAATGTGCTAGATTGCCTGAAAGATTTAGGCAGCCTTCAAAAGAACAGTTTGTAATGTAAACAATTGAGATAAGACTTCATTTGCTTTCTTTGTAGTTTCAAAAGATTTCTGCTCTCTCTCTCTCCCTCTCTCCCCTTCCCCTTTTGATAACTTGAATTTGCTGACTGCATATTTTGATACTTGCATTTGGTGTTTTTAATCATTTGTTGTCTACTTATTGTCACTTTGTTTAGAAACTCTACCACGCTTCTTCATATTTTACATTAGTAGAGATAGTCATATATTTTTGATCCACACTTACTATTTTACTTCTCATTAAATAAACAACAGGTTAATAATTTACATGCATTTTAACAGTAGAGGATCTCTTTACACAGATATTTGCTTAACAGGACAAAATTGCCGAATAATATGATAGGTGAATAATTGGTAAATTATTTTGTCAGTGGTTCCCAAATTAACTTGTGAAATACAGATAGTTCCTAAGCAGTTAAAGAAATGAAAAGAAATGGGTTCAGTAGTGGAGGTTCTGGTTCACCTGAGACATGATAATTATTTTTTATCATTCACCTTATCAACAAGTTCTAGCTTCTTTCTACTACAAAAGAGGACAATGCAGTAGCATTATCAATTATTATAACACTTTACATTACACCTAA